CCGCCAAGAAATTTGCGAGCAGTTGTTCATGGGGATGCCTTATAAATGTGGCTACTTTCAAGGAAAGTGGGAATTCAGTCCTTTGCCGGAAGTATACTTCACCAGTGCAAACGAGGTCTCTATGCAACACAACGACGTCGCTATGACACGCGCTTCAGGTTTGAGCCATTTTTGGTACCAACAACTGTTCCGCTGTAACCCAGATGGTTCAGCTGCTTCTGAATCCTAATCTGGTCTTGTCTAATCTCAAAAGATGTCTTTTTTGGAAGGTAAATACTTTTTACGTCCCGGGGCGTCCATTTATCCTGCAACCTCTGTGTTACTCTCGATGTGAGGTACATGTAAAAAACTCATTCCCTACTAGTGAACTGACTTCACGTGTACTCGAAAAAAATACTTCCACATGATGTTCTTTTCCCTATTTTATATCCGCACACCGAATGGGGCTTGTCATAATCTGTCTGGAGATGTTGTTGGCACGGGCATGACCGCCATCGGTAGCCCATGCTATGACGAGCTAGTGTTCCTACACCCAAAAATGTTTGTACGACTCTCGTGGAAGGCTAGTGGCCGCGTTTTCTCACTCTGGATGTAAGTGTTTGAACCTACTTTTTAATCTTGTTTCTCCTTTTGCTGCGTGATTTTACTGCCATTGGTAAGTTTAATTCCAAGAAACCCGATGTCAGTTGGTTGTTGTGTTTCTGGTAAACTTCCAGTCTCGGGTCACTTTAGGCCACTGTCCAGTGAAAAGTAACTGTTTTAGTTACACACTCTCTGTTTTCAAATTCAGTCTTCAAATTCGGCACCTCCGTGGGCGTGTTACTGTTTTCTTTTCGGAGAAGAAGCATTTGAGAGGAAGCATCGATATTCATTCCCCTATATCTTAAATGACCCCAGTGTGGCGCTGTTGCTGAATTTACCGCTTTCAAGCCTGTAATAGCCTGGCGCACTTCTACCCACATGATGGCATGGGATAAAACTCAATTCCTACATCCTAGTTTATCAAAATTTATTTCAGAGGCTCTATGTTTAAGCCAATTACTTCCATGTCACTTCCGGTTGTATTTGGAACACTGATGATTCATCACACAGGAGTAAACTAATTTCAGCCTAACTTTCAGAAACCGGTAGTTTAAAAGCCTGATACTGAACACCTCTCCCAGCCCATTCGTATGTCTTCTATTGAACTACTTCACTGAAGTATCACTTTGCTTGCAGATGAAAAAACCACCCCCCGATCGTAGTTCAAAATGCATTTGGGCTGTACTAGTTCATGAATGTTCACAGTTGGCCTCAAAATAGAATTGCTACTCAGCAGTTTAATTTGGTTTGACCTAAACTTGGTCATCGCATCATGACAGACTCACCCAACTCATCAGAATTTCATATTGTTGTCCTCACAATCGGTTGCCACTTTGGGGTATTTATGTCACCTCACTCTTCAAATGGAAAGAAAATGTGATGTTTTGTAACTAGGCATGATACACAAGTTGCTTGAAGGTGGCTTGGTGGGATTTTGGAATTTCAACGGAAGGTGAAGCCATTCTAGGCTGAAAAGCTGACAGGAGCTTCTCTGTTGTTTCATGTTAGTTGGGGATGTTCCTTAACGCGTGCCCCACGAATCTCCACCCACAGACAAGTAGGTGGTTCTGGATATCTTGACAGATATACTGCTAAAAGAAAGGTTGATTGGTTCGAACTTGCTGCAGTTCAAAGAATTTCAGTTACGGGACACTCCACTTAGGTGAACCCAGAATGGATGCGAGGCGAGCACTCAACAGAGAACTTCACCAGGAATATTTTGGAATTACAACCAGTCCAACAACAAAATACTGAATAACAGTATATTCCAACTAGAAGACGGAGAAACTCCGATGATGATGTTTGACCGTTTAATTGCATGCATTATCGGCGCCCGCTAGATCAATTACAATCGACATTCCGAATTCCAGGCCAGCGTGGTTGTAGGCCATAACACATCCCATGTTGTAATAATGCTAGTCTGACCATGAGCAACCGTCTTTATACCTCTTTCCAAAGAGAGTTCGTCCTCTAGATGAGGTTGCTCCATTCCGAACAGCTGTTCATCTTCAATGGAAACACCCAATAGTAAATATCTCATCAAAATGCCAGGGTTATTCAAACCCATGACCACCAGGCTAGTACTAAAGGACTAAATCGCCAGTCAACGAGGAGCTTGTGAGCAATGCGATTAACTCACATCTAGACAGAACATAGCGCTACTCATCCTTCAACTAAGGAATTCACATCACGTGGTCACGTGTTGACTAGTTCCTTAAGTGACGATTACTCCAATGGAAAATTCACTCTTCATGTAAATTTGACTCTTCCTTCTGTGCTACTTATTCCTCTTGTATCACATGACCTTGTCCTGCCAACGAAGGAATTAGCAATTATTTCGTCTGGAAACCAGCTAGTTCGCGGCAGTTCGATCTGCGACAGCTTCCCGGTATGCATACGTGTGTTCACTCCCACGTACGTGCAACTAGGCATTCCAGAGAGAGAGATATGTTGAGGTGGGGTGATTTGCGTTCGGGGTAAAACTGGCAGTAGGCATCGGCAGAGTTGTCAGCAACCGTTTGCCTTGGGAGGATGGGATATCCATTATTTTACAAAACAAGCAAGTCAGTCGCCTGATGAATCTAGTTTTGCGCATTTTCATCCGTTGTGGCAACAGGACCAGTATTCCGTGTAGGAGAGATGAACCGAACAACGTAAACAGCAGATCCCGCAAGTCGGTTTATCATCGATCGTCCGATCGTTTGTATGCTGTGGCAAGCTGAACTAATCGTGCCTACACTGAACACATACTATCAACTCATCACTTCTAAAGCTATACTTATTGGACGTTTTAAATTTTTCATTATTGGTTTGATATTGATGTATAGCCCTCGTTTCTGCAGACGGTAAATAGACCGAAATTACCGGGTCGCGAGCAGTTCAAGCCTCCTAAACTAATGAGTCGCTGACAAAATAACACCAGTTGTGTGTTAACCGTGATGCAAAATTTTACCCGCCCCTATCGTGCTTTCATACTCCATAGCGTTCCGCTGAAGTTCGGTATGTTATGAAGGCGTGTTTGGTGTAAGGCCAAACTAGGAGTTTATTCATGGTAGGTGTGTAAACTCAAGAAGCCTTGTTGCTCACGCCGCAGTCTCCGTTTGTGTGATTTTAGGATGCCCTCAACGCTCAATTGTCCTCACAGTTCATGTGATACTGTCGTAATTCTTTCACCTGCTTTTGCAAAATTCGTTCGATAATTTCTTTAAAAAAGAAGGCCCTCTCATACTGTCATGGAGACCATACACAGTCTCATGAGTGTTAACTCATTTGGGCATTACCATTCAAGAGCACTCTCCCAGCGAGCCAGTCATTCAGCCTAAAGCGACGAATGTTACTTTGTCTGTTCATTCGTAATGCTTTTTCTCGCTCAGAGGGCATAATTCGTATTCACCAGATAATGAACAGTAGCCAACCGTCATTTCGTGACTGTTAATCCCTAAACGAAAGTATCGAGGCCTTCCTGAGAGAACGCTACTCATAAGGTTAACGTAAATTTTCAAGACTCTAAGTTACCTTAGGAAATTTTGAGACGATATCTCGAATGTCATACCAACTAAAACGGGAGAGGGCCTTTGTGCAGCACATTCACTTGAAGAATATCCTAAACGAGAGACTCAGCTCGGATTCGGTTGAGTCTCTCCTTAAAACAGGACTGATTTGCTAACGGGTGTATTTCAAATTTCGTGAAATTTGGGTTCAAGTAGAACGTAAGTTAGACGGAAACTCAGGGACTGTGCCTGCCTGACAAGCCTCAAGAAGAGCAAAACGGTTGTGAGCTGCTCAAGAGTTTTCAGCAACCTTGTGAGCAGTTTCTTTATGAAAAATCTACTGAGATATAGCGAATATCGTGCCAAATGAAACGTGAGATGACCTTTGTTGAGCACATTTAGTTGAACAACATGCACGAAAAACGACATGTTCTGTTTGGATTCAGCGGAATCTTCCGTTAAAACCAAACTGTTGTACAGTTGGTGTGTTTTGCCAAGTATCAATGTCGCCACAAAGTTCAGGTTCAAGTACTTTTAGGGGAAGAACCCGAGGCATAACACCAGTTTACTTGTCCAGCTGGACAAATTGCTCTTAGGCGAAACCTGGTGAGTCATGAAACACTTTCCGGAACCGGTCTGCATCAGAAACAAGCGATTGAAGGATCACCTCCCGGCAAACAGAACCAAAGACTGTCTGAAAAATTAAGTGTAATGACTGCATCACTATATAGAACAGACGGTCCGTGAACTACATATCGGAATCGGAGAGCATAGCAGAAAAAACAGGCCGCCGAGAAACGCAGATGAATATCAAGCGTTACTGGAAGACTCGGCAATCGCGGAACACGCACTGGACACGGGACACAAAACAGACCTAGAAAATACTTAGTAATGCACTACTCATAGGTTGCTGAAAACTCCTCGGCCGGTTTCGCCCTTCTTGGGGCTCATCAGGTAGGCTCAGTCCCCGAGTTTCCGTCAACCTCATGTTCTACTTGAAACCAAATGGCGCGAAATTAGCGAATATACATTCATTTGCAAACTAATTTGGTTTTTCGAGGGACTCACCTAGAGCCCAGCTGAATCGCTCGGTTTTGATGTTTCCAGACAACTACTAAACGAGAGACTCAGCTCGGATTCGGTTGAGTCTCTCCTGAAAACAGGACTGATTTGCTAACGGGTGTATTTCAAATTTCGTGAAATTTGGGTTCAAGTAGAACGTAAGTTAGACGGAAACTCAGGGACTGTGCCTACCTGACAAGCCTCAAGAAGAGCAAAACGGTTGTGAGCTGCTCAAGAGTTTTCAGCAACCTTGTGAGCAGTTTCTTTATGAAAAATCTACTGAGATATAGCGAATATCGTGCCAAATGAAACGTGAGATGACCTTTGTTGAGCACATTTAGTTGAACAACATGCACGAAAAACGACATGTTCTGTTTGGATTCAGCGGAATCTTCCGTTAAAACCAAACTGTTGTACAGTTGGTGTGTTTTGCCAAGTATCAATGTCGCCACAAAGTTCAGGTTCAAGTACTTTTAGGGGAAGAACCCGAGGCATAACACCAGTTTACTTGTCCAGCTGGACAAATTGCTCTTAGGCGAAACCTGGTGAGTCATGAAACACTTTCCGGAACCGGTCTGCATCAGAAACAAGCGATTGAAGGATCACCTCCCGGCAAACAGAACCAAAGACTGTCTGAAAAATTAAGTGTAATGACTGCATCACTATATAGAACAGACGGTCCGTGAACTACATATCGGAATCGGAGAGCATAGCAGAAAAAACAGGCCGCCGAGAAACGCAGATGAATATCAAGCGTTACTGGAAGACTCGGCAATCGCGGAACACGCACTGGACACGGGACACAAAACAGACCTAGAAAATACTTAGTAATGCACTACTCATAGGTTGCTGAAAACTCCTCGGCCGGTTTCGCCCTTCTTGGGGCTCATCAGGTAGGCTCAGTCCCCGAGTTTCCGTCAACCTCATGTTCTACTTGAAACCAAATGGCGCGAAATTAGCGAATATACATTCATTTGCAAACTAATTTGGTTTTTCGAGGGACTCACCTAGAGCCCAGCTGAATCGCTCGGTTTTGATGTTTCCAGACAACTAAATGTGCTACACCAGGCCACCTCATGTTTCAGTTACTACGATGTTCGAGTTATCGCGATAAATATATATTTTTTTGGAAAATGTTGAGGTTTTGAGGCGAGAACGACGGTCCACGTCACAGAGCCTGATAGTCGAGACGGTAGAAATCGCCAAGCATCCCAGTGTTAACAGAATAGAAGGCGTGGAACTGGCAAAGGTGTTGAGAACGGTCTTGGGTCAATCGAGGTAACACGTGTTGGTGTGCGATCATCAGAGGGAGGAGTAGTCATCATCTGGATTCCACTTAACCTTACGCACCCCCTCCCTAAATTGTGCAACATTCACATGCCCACGAAGATCAGGGGAAATCTAACAGAGGCACCCGAGGTAAATCATCAAGTAAAGCAGCCTGTAGTGGAAGATTAAGGAACGAAAAGTGATCGGAACTAATTTGAAACTCCTCCAACCCATCAATTCAAGATTTTGGCAACCACACTAGCCGTCAAGAACCGTTAATTGACACTCAACACTGATCTAGTGTGATAATCTGAAGAGGACTGACTGATTGGTCCTCCATCTGTCTTATATCTGTCCAATTCGGTGACCTGTTCACTTGGCCTGATAAAACTTCTGTGTCAGAAGCGAAACGTTGCCCAAATAAAAACTACCGATTGTTTGCCAAGCTCTTCTGAAACGGCAGTGAAGTATCACTGCCAACACTGATGTTGCTGTCTTTGATGATTGATGATGATCTTCTGAAACATGTTTCTCGTGTTTATGCCACCGAATCAATTTCCACGAAAATGTTTCAACCTTCTTACTATTAAACTACAAGATCAATCGGTTAACACTACGGAAACAACTCGAAATTCTTAGAAATTGTATGTATACTAAGGAGTGCTCAGTAACTGATTGTTTTGCTATGTAGTTCGTCATCAATAAGCACTCACACTGTGCTCCTTCAAGTCGGACAGGCCACCAGAGATTTCATGTCATCGCTCATTTTCAGTCATCATGTGGCATGGCACATCACATCAGGAGCCTGACAGGAAACATCAGAGTTCTCGAAATGAACACGGTATCAGTTTTCACTACATCAGAAGAGTTTGTGAATAAAGGAATCAATATCATATGAGTAATGAGTTTTTGGAGAGTGGGGTACAAGTTATGTGCACGGGAGTCCAGAATGGTACGACTGATAGCGACGCACCCGTTCAACCACCCGTAGATCAAACGAAATTCCTAATAAGCATGAAACAAAAACACGATTAGACATTGAGTGATGCAGCTCAAGGTCACCGGTAAATATCATTGATATTTATATGTACACATATGCATACATAATATATATACCCAAAACCACCGGGATTCAAACGAATCAACCTCAAAGAAAGCCCTTCCAAATTCCAACAAAGGAAATATCATTCTTAGCCAGGGTTCATATGGTTTTACGCATTGGAGAGTGAAAATTAGTTATGAAAATTCAAGCGAACCTGACCGCAATTCAATCGTTTGACAACTAATCATGAAATACTTGACTTCGACGATATGGACTACTCCAGGTGGTGGCAGCAGGTGCAAATCCCCTAACAGTGCTCGGAAACAAGGGTTCATTCTGAGACAAAATAACGAATGTACTTGATGTCTATCCGACTGGGGTGGGCGGAGGGACGATCGTCCTCTACAGCATCATGGAACGAGACGAACGTACTTGAACACTACTCCCTAAAATTCACTGAGTTTGAATGCTACCGAAGCAATTCAACATCAGTGCGTCCGTCCAAGGAATTCAACTGCGTGTAACGCTAACAGAAGCCTGTGATTGGCAGGGTTCTTTTGCGCATCAAACATGCATTTGATGACCAGCGGGAGACTGCATGCACGAACATAGGTTAATTTTCCAGCCTGCTTTGAATCTGTCAAAATATTTTCGCCCGGCCAGTTGGCTTTCTGTCTGTGTTTTGAATCAGAATTTAAATGCTGTGGTCTCTGGGACGAGTTTGCACCGTTTCCGAAGCTGAAGAACATGCCATAAGCCTCCATTCTAACTAATCCTACAAAGGAAACAGCAGGAGTATTTAGTACCTTGACAATGCTTGAGGAAATAACTGTGGACGAGAGGAACATCCTCCTGTACGCCTTCCTCTGACCCAAGTGTTCTATCTTTCTTATCTCAATCCTTCTAGAAGGCAACAAAATGGGAAGTGTAAAACACTAAGCAATTTCCCCCGGAATTCACGCCGGCAAACAAACAAACTCTGGACAGGGTAACAAGAGATAGGTGATATCATTCAAACAGGGAAAGGAGAGTTGAAATGTCGCGCCCTCAGAATTATTGTCTAGGTAGTTCGACCTACTAAAAATGGCATATTATTGTTTTAATGTTTGCAAAACGACTTACTTGTTTGAAGTGTTGTCACAGCTGAAGAATTTAAGGGAAGTCACAGGGTCGCGTTAAACATACATATGATGGGAAACATGTAAGGAAAGAAAGAATAACTATGGTAGTATTTTCCGGAAATAACTGAGTCATGATCTGTTTGGTCTGTTTGAAGTCCAACTACACCTTTTCCAAGTCATTAAGTGTTCTGAAAGTCTTTCGAAAACTCTCTGTCGCCAAACATTCGAATTCTATGTTGTCCGCATGCTTCTCTTTGAAAACGCTCGAAGCTCGTAAATGGTGGCGACAAATAACTCGCGTGACTGGAACCTATTGCGATGCATTCCTAATGCATACTTGAAATCAAGTACCTAATAAGAATTTTCGACTTTCTGCTGGAAAATTTAACGAACACTTGTTTACTTCTTCTGGATGGTAGTTTTCCAAGAAGCAAAAATACTGACCGACGACGGATCGATATTGTTGCTGTTAGTTTTACTCCATCTACTCGCTCCGGCACAATCAATAATTGCACTTCTGAACAACTCCTTTCTGATCAACGAATCGATAACCGTTAGGCGAAAGTATTTCAATGGTTTTGTTAGTGAATTAATAGTTTTATCACATAGCTTGAAAGATAACCAGATAGACTCAACAAATCAAATTTCCGTAAACAGGCAGTTAACTCCATCGAAGCACGCACTGTTTTCAAACTGCATGGATGCGAGTCCCGAGCTAGTGAACACTGCATTCCGCCTAAACTTTGTATCGCAGAATCCCGGTAGTTGACGGTGCAAGTCAAATCAACGGAAAAGCACTGAATAACATGTCCGCTTAATTGTGATATTAACTTTAGTTAGGATGAACAAAAAAAGACTGGGAAGTAAAAAGTGAACTGCCTCACGTACACCTTCATTCGCAACAATGTAGTTTTGATTGCAACGAAGAACAAATGTAAACATTCATGTGAAAGAACACTTCTTGTTTGGAATTTGATGCTAACTGCATTCTAATTTTTGTCATTTTCATGTAAACTGGGTTCAAATGAGCGCACTGCTGATTAGGCAGTCCAACACTGACTTGTTCGAAAAAATATGCTAATTTGAACACGAGTACACTTGTTCATTCAGACCTTCCTGGTGGTGGTGTGGTCAATTCGATTTAAGCTTTCGTCCAGTCAGCGGAGCCAATTTATACCGAAAAGCTACCAAACACTGTATAACTGTTTTATCCAAACAGTTTCATTAGCAGTGCTCATCTCAAGAAACTCCATTTGGGAATTTCGCACCCGCGGCCTCTTGCCTGGAATTTCGAACACTTGACTGTTCAGATATTGAAAGAGGAGAGGATTCTTTGGGAGAACTGGCGAAGCTTCTAAACTAGTGAAGGCATTCATCTGCAAAGTGATCATTAGCCTTTCAGTGTAGCTAAGTTTGAACGCATACGTGAGTAGACTGACCATTTGAAGCTCTTGTCAGCGTTGAAGCGCACGTAATCCAGGAAAAGTCCTTATCGATTTTTACTGGTCTTGTGAATATGTACCCAGCACCTAACTCTGTATTCATCCAATTAACCTGGAACTAAAATAGTCAGTACACTGTCATATGGTTGACATGAGTGGATGTAACTTTTCAAAGCACTCGTGGGTCTTCAAACACGAAAATGTTAGCCAGCCTGTTTAAGAAATCACTTTCTCCCCGGACATATTCAGCGAAATCTCCTCACTAGATGGTTTTGTCAAGGGAAATCTGACAAAAGCCTTCAAGTCAAATTTTACACTGATTTCTAACCAAAACTTCTCATGAATCGTACATCAACAAAGACCTGAAAAATTCCGTTACTTAGTGATTGGAGAACCACATGAATTCGTTCACGTAGTACCCTGGATACGCATGGTTATCACTTCAGAACGGATTCTAAATACATTTTGTGGTGACATTTTTTGAAGATTCCACCTGATTTTTTCATCAGCTGATTGAATTAAGAGTACAGCCAAACATTCATGCGTCTTGTGAGGAACCGGTGTGTCCACGTGTTCAGTTCCGATGGATCTGATTTTTAAAATAAACGGGGCTGGCAGTCCCCTAATTTCGGTATGCTCCTAACCATATTAGTTCACCTAAGGTTGGTGACACTACTCAGCTTGTTGGTAAAATTCTCTCCATGCTGTTGTGTTCAAAGGCCAACCCGCTCTCTGGGAAGTTGTGTACATTCTGTCCCGGTTATGAACAAAAATAGCGACGTGGTTTTTGACGCTACTCGGAGGTCATCAAGTTCTACATGTCAAGACAGTCAGAGCGCCACCACTGAGGTGGAGACTGAACGCCATAGGAGCCAGAGCGGTGGTCGAAGAGGGAAATGCCTTATTTGCAATAGGACTACACAATATGGAAGCGTATAACTACCCTAGTATTAGTGATCGTTGCCATAAATGTATTCATTACTGAATTCGCCATACCTAGTGAGTGAATGAGCCATCAGACTACACTGTACTTTCAATGCGGCACTGCTCACTTGTGAGAAAGACATCCTCATCAGAGTGCACTCACCAAGAGAGGCCAGGTTTCGTTAGCCATTGGGCTGAATTTCAACATTAAGCCAGTCAAAGAAACGAAATCTTATCAAGTTATCCACTTTGTTAGCCCCTTCAAAAAACTGATAACTGTATCTGATAATTTGTAGGAGAAACTCCGGCATTTTGTAGAACAGCCCCCATTACAGTGAAGACGTATGAAGCCGACGATGATATGTTTATTCTTCGATTGGAATCGGTTCATCCGTTTATTTTAAATCTATGCTCTCCAGTTTACTGCATTTCATTAACACAAAGTGAGTGCTGTGGTCAACCTCACCGAGACTGTGGAATCATTATCAGCGGAATATCTGCATGTTTACTTGTAAACCAGTGGTCAGCGACTTACATCAGCTGGTTTATTTTCTTACCACACAGCTCTTGACACACAACACGCGGATGACCAGACAGCACAACCGTCAACTCATCATATATCCTTTCGTCTATTCATGCGGGTGACTTGGACGTTTTTCGAAACGCTGGACATAAAGTGACACTGTTCGTAAGGGAAAATCAGTGAACAGAATTTCATTGAGATGAGTCATTTTGATATGGACCATGTTAGCAGTCACGTTTCGAGGACAACGCCCTCTCTTTTCTTGTGGATTTTGGGTCATGTATCTGTAATCCGTGAGAAGAAACTGAAAAGGTGCACCTGTGAGACAAGCGGGTAGCATACATTGTGGACAGAGCACACCGTCAGTCACAGCCCCGTTTGGAACACTGACGTACACAAGCGAGTCGACATTGTGCGCGCCAAAGCTCCGAACGGTTAGAAACGGACAGAATGTCTTTCGCCCCAACTACGAGAACCATGTGCTTCAGTGTGGGATTGAACTGCTGAGGGCAGATTTTTGTGCACAGATGAACAATCGCACGATGAAATTATGTGACTAACCTGTTCTTTCTCCGAAGATTTTTCTGTGCGATTATCTAAAACAAAGCTAGAAGACGAGTGCATACAAACCCGGATCCACCGATTTTTCGAAGAGTGCACGAACAACATGAAAAAGTGGTGCCGGCAGATATACACGACCATTCGTATTGTACGCTAGTTTACCAGAAACCAAACTAGCCCCAGTATAAGAACCACATTTGTTCGACACTAAATAAAACGTCGGAGGTTGTCTTTCAAAACGAATCTGTCATACAACAGCAAACGGAGAATTACAAACCCATCAATACATTATCACGTTCGTAGTAGGTCAGTTCTTGTGGCCCTTGAACGAGTTTCACCCAACATGACCTATAACGCGGAATAACAGGTGGTATTCTTTTGTAAATGTCAGACCGTATTAAGAGTAACTGACCAAAGTCCTGATTTCTATGAGCTAGATACACATTTGTTGGTCGGTTCGCATAGGATGGGAACATCCACGCAAGTATGGCAGTCAAGATCCAGCATAAGCTCATGTGACCCCCCTAGTCTAGTTGACGTTAGACCCGTTCTTTTCAAGGATAGCAGTGAAGTCTTCAGCCAGTATCTGCCTAGCCCGTTTTTGAGAAAGGGATTCTCGCAGAGGACTGAGGTGAGTCCTCAAAATATAGCGGCCATGCGGGTGTCACTTGATTCTCGTTGTAACAAGACTTCTGACCTCACCACTCCTTCAATACGAAAAATCTCCGGTGTTGAGCAACAAAGGGGACTCTGACCGGAAGAGGCTGCACACAGACACGCTTACTCAACAGCGTATGATCAGCTCCCTAAAAGCTCACCTACAAAAAGCACTGTCCAACGAGGATATCCATTCTGTCCGTAATTGCTCCACTTCATCATTGATGAAATAACGAGGTGAATGTTGCAAGGTCTTCAGAACCCCGGTGTTCAACTTGTTGCTAGTGAGAACCTTGTCAATCTAGAGCACGCAGGGGACTAGCCCTCATCTTTGAAGAAAAGGTCCAGCACGAGCCCTGCTGAATGAACTGGCCACCATCATATCATCTTTTGGCATGCTTTTTGCGTCTTCAAAATGCAACTTCGTATTGGAAGGTGCAACTCTGGACATTCAAGAAGCACTGGGCATTGTGGGGAATTTCACATACCGCGGTAATTGTATTAGCTCTGACGGATGTGTCGGATGAATAGCAGTGCCCGGATCTTGCCAATTCGCGTCAATGGGGGAGCTAACAGGGCATACCACTAGGACTCAAGGGTTGCGTGTACAAAGCTACATCAAGGGTTTTGTTGTTGCATGGTTGATAGGCGTAGCCACTGACGACAGACGAGATAGTGGTCTTCAGGCATTTGGCTATTGACATCTCAGAAAGGTTGCGTTTGCTACAGAACGTCGAATAAGTCGCAAAGGGACAGCTGAAAATAGCGGGTGATATTTCAGCTACGGATACTACCTGGTACAATCAGCTCAGGTTGCTCGATCATGGTCTACGTGTGTCCAGATATCCTCCACTGAGAAGAGTATTCTTCTCTGTGTCTCCTTCAGAATGGCCAAAACTGTAAAATTGAAAACGCGCAACTGTGCAAAAGGGTGTGAACAAGATTACGAAGGGATCAAATGTTTGCGGGGACTCTGTGAGCCTCCATGCGCTTGGCTGGAAGCGTTGTAAGAAACGATGACGTTTGATGTCACTGGCGTTTGTGCCGTCAGATATCTTTTCCAGATTATCTGCTAGATGGCCCAAATGTATAGGCACCTCTATATGCTTTTGACAGACTGTAACCAGGTCCCCAGTATTCACTGTTTCTTTCTTCAAGTATAATTAAATAGATATCGTGGTTTCACGGCTAAGATCATCGATGTCAATACTGATGTTACTGTTTCTGATAACGATGAAGATGGAGTATCGGGGCGATTGGTTGGGTGACTGACTGACTGATTGATTGATTGGTTGGCTGGTTGATTGATGTATTGGTTGATTGATTTATTGACAAAATAATTAATTAATTGACTGGTCGACTGATCGATTGATGGATGGAAGGAAGGAAGGAAATACGAGCTGAAAAACACGTGGATGGCGAACAACCAAAGTTAAACAAGCCAATTTTTGATGATTACTTCCGCACCTAGACATATGTAAATAATACCCTTTGAACCTATCTAACTGACTACGACCGAGTTTCACGTAACTCTAGCTGCAAGTATTTATTTGAGGTGAAATAGTCCTTGTGTGGTGTCGCCAAATGTTGAACTATTCGGGCTTTTATATGACTATTGAAAAAGCCATGAGTTCTCTGTGGAAGTGAGGAACCTGATTAGACTGAGGCTAAGTAACTGGAATTCAATAAGAGTTTTAATAACCGAATGCCGTCGGATCCGGAAAATCTCAGCTTTATGAGCGATTTCGCCCTTTTTGGGACTGTCTTGACGCTGAATTAGGTATCTGACGTCCGTCTTAAGGCGGCTGCAGCTGACAAGCCGCTATTTTGGGGGTTCTTTTTCGGCGACTGCTCACCATGCTGAACAACCAGGGAAAATAAGTCTGCGAAATTAAGGTTCTTTGTCCCACCTATCCGCAGTCTTCTGATTAGTAGCTGAGTATTTCTGGTTCCATTTTTATACGGCAAACTCAGAGTGGTGGACACAGGACCACCCATGCAAATACATTTGCAAGCGGAGCAGTAGGTATCACAGCAGCGTGCAAGTTAAATTTTTTACGTCAAAGGCACTTTACTCAGTCAGCATGCAAAGGCTGACCAATACCACGACGTTACATGGGCTAGTTGCCCCCCCTCTCCCAGGTTAACCGTATACATGCTACCCCAAGAAGAATGTACTACTTTTAGAAGTCACTAGAAGAAGGATGATTGGTCAGCCAGCCTACATCTCCGTACGTTGTCTTATGCCTAGAGATCTCAACAACTTGGATATTGTTCACAGGTTATGGACTAACTCATTTACAACTCGCAATCTACCGGACAGCACCACTGAACCCAAGAAATGCCTAGAGAAGAGGTGCAAGCTTCATTTCCACTCAGTTGGTGCATCTAAAAGCTTCCAAGTGTACTGATCAGAAACGAAAGCCGTTTCTATCAATCCATGGGGACTTCTCGTCTGCTTCGGAGAATAAACCGCCTTTGCTATGGAGGTGAATTTTGGTAGCTCGTGTAGCGTAGGTAGTTGCTGGTTTGTTCGCTGAGCTGAGCAATTTGATTACAAAATTTTCATCACCAATAGAGGTGACATCATCAGTTCATTGTTCAGGCGCGTAGTGGTGCGTCGCGATGAGTTTGTGGTTGTGCGTTGAGTAGTGTTACGCGTGTGTTAATATACATGCTGTCAGCAGGGCCGACCTTCGATCACGATTAGTTGTTCTGTCAGGCGTTTCTATCGGTTCTCTCTCGGAAGGGAAGTTCCGGAAGCATGAAACTTCGCGGCAGATTCGATCAATTTACGCATCACTACGTGCTAATGACCAACACCTGTACCCAAATAATCAAAGAGAGCCGAATATCGGATTCACAAGCCAAGAAACAAGGACAGCTCTGAGTCGGACCAAAAAAGGTTACAAGTCGGAAACCAGAGAGGTCAAGAAAGAGACTACTCCAGCGTTGACCAGAGTACGAGATCGGGGGATGCCTGACCTCGATCAATCAAGACACAGAACAACAAAGCAACCAATGGAAGCGACCAACCGAACAAGTAATCGTGATCGAAGGTCGACCCCTGCTGACACCACGTATATTAACACACGCGTACCACTGTCCAACGCACAACCACACACTCATCAGTACGCACCACTATGCTCCCCGGCACGCACTGATGACGTCACCTCTACTGGTGAAGAGACGTTTGCAATCAAAAAGGTCAGCTCAATGAACAAACCAACCACCCTAAACCACCTTCACCATACTGTGTAGTCTGCAGGTTAAAATTTAAATTTGAAACTTTAGGCTACAACTTCATCGGAATGTTTTATATCCTTATACATTAAGTTTGCGTTACATATAGATTAATTTTACAGCCACATCGTATCTATCGTTCTATCACAATATCGATTATTACTATCAGTGATCCAAAACAAGGCTTATGAAATACCAGTGATCGCTGTGTGTAACGTGTGCTTTCAGAAGTTGTACCACTTTGGATTAACTTTAACGTGATGGTCACAGTGTTTATATCCGAATTCAATGTTTTTAATGCATGTTGAATCTCTGGGGCGAACTACTTCACGTAAGTGCTTAAACAAGAATCGTTCTCTCACGTGGAAAATACTTGAAACCGATTGATCAGCTAAGCAAGCTAAATCTCTGTTGGGTGTCGGCCGAGGGATTTTAGTGTGTTAGAGTGGTTGAACAAGTGTTGGGTCGGTGGGGAAACCTAAATGTGTTTGGGTCCTGCCTAGGGTCTAGTTCTTCTGGTTCGGTTCATTTGATGGTTCCTCTTGAACTTCGTTTGAACCTTCTGTGTGGGTGAGCTAGTGCTAAGAAAGTTGTGTAGGAGGGATGCTGTGACCTTTGGTCGGTTGGGGTTTCCACCCCTACCCCCCGGTTTTTTCTAATGATCCTAAGTGGATTGAC